TCAGGCTAGCTAATGTAGAATTAAGAAATTGTGCCCAATTCATCAAGAAAAATTTACTCTGACTAATGCAAAGTAAGCATGTCAGCAACGGATATGCTGCCTAAAATACAATTATCATCTTTTGCAAAGATACTCCATTTAAAAGGTGAACGAATAGTTATGATAAAAAGAACAGCGTAAATTATGCAAAGATCTGAAGAGAAATAAGTCTTTAACAATAAAAGACAAATTATATTTAACAAAAATCCTAAAAAGAATACAGCTATTCTTACCATTTTGTCGCGTTTCTTATTAACCAATTCAAATGTAGGCGCATAAAGTTTATCAACAAATGATATTACTGCGGGTATATTTGCTTCTGTTTTGATTTGCTGAAAATTTTGAAGCGTTTAAATTTTTATACATTATCGAGGAAACTGCTAAAAACAAAGTTTTTAATTGCCTCTTAGCACCTTTGACTTGGATTCTGAATTCTAGTGTAAATTACCTGTGATATGTCCAATACAACTTAATGATCTTTTGTTATCCTTTTATCTAATTTAATATACATAGTGAATTGACAAAATGGAACTATTTTTCAAATAAATAAAAAATATCTAAGTGAAAAAAACTTTTCTTTAGTGTGTTCAGTCTAAATTTCCAGGTAACGAAAGCTATCATAACTAATAAACTAAAAAACTTATTGTAATTTAAAATACAAAGAAAGAAAAAAAGAAAAAAAAAAAACAAACTGCTGCAACTGGAAGAAGAATCTCAACCAGTAATCCAGCGATTGCATGCTTGATATCTTTTTGTTTTACATCCAAATAATACTGTCCAAGTTCATCTAAGAAACGTACACCAATTTCAAATTCAATGATGTCATTGGTCTAAAAAGAAATGAAAAAGAATTATATAGTGAAATCATAAAAATTTAACTACCTCATATTTAATTTGAAAGTTTAATAACACATATTAACTTTTCACTTCTAAAATGGAAAATTAAATTAAAAAGCACTCTACCTTTATTCTGTAAAATTTCATAGCCATCAGCAAAGCGATTATGCAATTCATACCAAATGGAGTCATTGGATTCTCTTTTCGCAGTTCATCTAATGTGCTAAGAAATGTACGCTGTATTAGAACAGCATGCGTTTGTGATAAAACACCAAGGACTTCAGCATAACGTTCGGCTACCAGCAAATAATTGTTATAATTTGAACCATACGTTGCACTTAAAAATTAAATCTATAAACCAAAATGAAATCATACTAACAATAAATAAATCTATTCAAAATCATCAAATATTACAAGTACTTAATTCAAATTCTAATATCAAGATAATGAAGTAAATAATAAAAAAAAAAATGTAAATCGAAAATAGCATCCGATATATACATTATCTTAATGACCTGAATTTTTCAATTATTTACTTGCTATTTCAATATTATTAACTTATTACACTAATGTTGTTATTAACTTATCATTAGCTTGTCTAGAAGTTATGCATTTACTTAATTTATATAAATTCATTTGACTTATTTTTTAAATTTAGTTTCCACTAGTTTAAGCACAGAGATACTTCATAAAAACATACATATCACGATATGCAACTTCGTCAAATGCCAAAGACACAATGTATGAGACGGAATTATCGCAGATAGTAGGGAAAAAGTGTAACTGTGGTAAAACTTCAATTAATACGATGCAGAAGAGATAATTGATTGCTAAACGCTGTTCATCTGATTTTGCGGTTTTTTCACTGCAATTTGAAGCGTTCAAAAAAAAAAAAGTGATCAGCATAACGAAATGACAGAATCAAATAATTTAAGTACTGGTTGCTTTCCATTATATAAAAAAATCACTATTAACTGTATTTAAAGAAAGATAACACAACTCAAATTATTGATTTCTAAATTACGCAGTTAATGCGACAAACAAAACATAAATTTGTCACTTAAATTATAAATCAAAAAATATATAATAAGATCAAAGACAAATATTAAAGCTGTTCCAATGAAAAACTTATACAGATGAAAGTGTTACATTAGAATATACCATAAAACAACTTATACCTCAATTCTTTGAAACGGTCCAATTGTTTTTCATACCAACTGACTAATGTTGCCAGAACAGAAGGTAAGCAATGTTCACAAAGCGTATTCAAGACTCGTAGAAGATTTTCTACGTATGTATCCTCTCCAATTTGAAGTGCTTTATTAATGTTACGTTCCTATAATAAATAAAAATGTAAACAGAAAAATATTCACAGCAAAGATTCATCGTAAATTTAAAGGAAAACAAACAACAAATTCATTATCACCATAATTTTTGGTTTACATATTCCGTAAAATGACTGAATTATTTCAGTAAATTGAAGAAAATGAAAAAAAAAAAAAAAAATACGTGAGGAAAATTGTTAAACCAAAAAAAATGTAAACAAAGATTCATCATAATAAAACCATTTTGATCTACCCCAGAAGGTAAATGCCACTAGTAGAAACAAAGCAGCATAACGTTATGAAAAATATGGTCAGGAATCTAAGTAGAATCTCATGAAATAAAGAGTAATCTAAAACGTATAATATTATGAATGAAAGAGCAACAACTTTGTCTAACTAGTTTTAAAGTAATTAGTTGAAAAAAAAAAAAAAAAACATTGCAACGAGCAGCTAACACTTACGATGTCGCCATCTTCGATAGATTGAATTCGACGATCGAAAACAATGAATAATTCTTGCAATAATGACTTGACAGCGAAATGACCTGGTGGAGATGCAAAATCAACGGCAGTTGTAGTGACAACTTTTAACGAACCCCATGGCAATTCAGCTGCTACAACCCTGAAAAAAAAAAAAAAAATAAAACTGTTTAATTCTAAAATTTCAATTAATACTAAACCATGAAATTTCAAGATGTATTGTGAAAATTCTTATATAACCATTAAAAAAATGTGCTATCACCAAATAGCATTTTCAAGGTTAATATCAATTACAAAGGGATGAGAGTGAAAAATTGAGTAAATCGACAAGACTAATGATTAATACAGAATTATGTTAAGTAGTACAAACACTTGTGCTATTTCAGAAATGTATACATTTCTGTGAATGTGTTTGGAGTGTGTATATGAAAATAGCGAATGCGATGGAGAAGGAAGAAAAAAAAAATTATCAGTAATAGAAGATATATGATACAAAATATTCTACAATGTTACATAAAAACATGAAGAAATATTCTTACAAAATATGACAGATAAAAAAGAAATAATGAATTGAAATGAATGCTGCGATCCTATTTTACTTTTTTTGCATCTTCTTTGCGAGATATTATATGGAAAACTGAAGTGATTTCCAAAAACTTTAATAGCAGCATCCATTAAAAAGAATGATGGATGAAATATTATACTTAATTAACTCTTCAATTATAAGTCGTAAATTTCAAGACTTCTAGCTGCATCATCGTCAATTTTGGTATCTAGAACAAGACAAAAGACAGATAAGCAAAATTTTGTCCAATAATATCTAATAATAATAAGAAAGATAAAATGATTACGCATCAAGTGTGCCAATATGGCTCGAAGTTGGATCACTACGACGTCGTAAAAGAGTTTTCTTCACCGTGTCCTTGTCTTCCTTCATTATTATCTAAATATCAACCGATCGTTCCAATAAGACGTGTAAATACCGCTTCATCGATAAAGGCGCAAAAAATTTCCATCATCTACAAATTAGCCAATTAATTATCAGTGAAATAAAAATGCATCGAAAAATTATGTTACGTATAAAATATAATAATGAATTACACCAAGCATACTTCAATGTCAACAATACATATTACTACAATAAATTTTCAACATTCATACTTATATTCCATTAATTAAACTTTTAAGAACAAAAAAGCTCGGACAATATCTATGAATTTTTACATAGGTTTCAATGTTACTTACCATCAATTTTATTATACTAGTAAAGTCTTAATGCATATAAAAAAAAGAACACTCAACAATTAAATTAATTTTAGTCAATGAAAACTAGTTAAAGCTTACCTCTTTGCTTTGCTATTTAATGTTTAGTAATTTTCTATTATCATTCATTCAATCATTTCAAACACATCTCTGTTTTTTCTTCTTTCTAAAAAATTGCTCAGAATGCTGCTGCAAAAATTCAAATAAATTTTTCTTAAAAGAAAAAAAGAGAAGGATTTTCTAAATTTATTGCTAATATCATAAAAATTAAACGAATTTATTCATTTCCAAAAATGAAAATAATTAACTATGAGACAACATCTTTACATAAAGAACATCGTTTAGGCCGTCAAATATTCATTGCTCGTTTATTTTAGTTTTTATGATTTTTGATTTCTTGACATCATAACTTGATAAAATGGATTGGCAGTAAACATTAAGGTTAATTGAATTTACGTTTACGAGAACATTTGCCGCTGCATATGACATTTTCCGCTTTTCGCTATTACATCAAATATTCTGTGGTGAGTGATATGAGTTTTGGTCTCAAATTATGAGCAAAATGCTTATAATAATTGTCATGTTATTTTCCTTTTTTTTTTTTCTTTTTCATGTATTCATAAATAAAAATTATCTCATTTATGATAGAATTATCATTTTTGGAATTGTTGAATTTTGATTATTTTGTAAGATTTTTTTAAATGAATTTTACAGATATCTATCAATATTTCTATTGCTGATCATGTTTATTTGCCCGCAAATTTTGTTTTTCATATTTCTTCCTAATTACAATATTTCATGGCGATTATTTATTTAGTTATGATTAGTTCAGAATGTTTATTATATAAGAAGTTTAGAACTTTCTATACCACTTAGTTGTCATTAATTCATATCTCTGTGAATTCAGTTTGCATTTCTCGGATCGTTCCTTACTTTTTTTCCATTTCCCTTAATACTTCGCTTATCGTCCTGATTAACGATAAACATTACATTATTTTGTAATCAAAAATGTACATCTTTTATTACTGAAATGTCCTCCCATTTTTTTCTTTTCAGGATGGAATTTAAGGATTATAATCATGCTTTAATTCACACCGTCCGTAATTCGCCATATTTGTATGATCCATCCAATAAACACTACAAAAAAGGACGGTCAAGGGTGGAATTATGGGAGGAAGTATCGAAGAAGCTTCAAGCGATGGGATATAAAACTACAGGTTATTATTATTGTTTAGTTGGCAGTAAGAATAGTTGCCTCTTTCATTCTAAAATAATTGAAATTAGGTAAGACTAAGGTTGAAACGTTTTTGATGATTATTTGTAAACAGATATATTTGTGTTTTTTGTTTTGCGAAAGTTAAGAAACTAAAGTTAAAAAGGATTCGTCATGTTGTCAGGAAATCACCAGTGATATAGCAGTAAAATTACTTCAAATTTATGCTGTTCGGCATACTGGATAAAAAGCAGCTAATTGCAAGGTGCTACAAACTTTAAAACTTAAATTCATGGCTTCTACATATTTGGTTTTTTTTTGGGATCATACAGGATGAAGCCAGTTATAATAAAGGAGATTATTGATCAGCTACTGCTACTGCAATTATTTCGATCTTTGTTGTCGATGAGTCAGCACTTGATTACTTGCCTTCTCTGTTATTGAATGTTTTTATCGAAGGTAAGAATTTTGTGGTAAGATAACGTTAGTAATCATAAATATTAAGGATGTTGCAGGTGAGAAATGTCGTGAACGCTGGAACTGCTTGAAGGGACGATTTGTGAGGGAGCGAAATACTTTAAAAAAGTTGAGATCAAATTCACTGCCTTATGTTCCAAAATTTTCATTCTATTCTGCAATGAAATTTGTGGAACCGTTTTTGCCTGATTCGCTTCAGTTAGTTTTTTTTTTTTCTTATTTCTTTCCTTCTTGCTAAATTTAAACTTTGTTTTGCCTTTATCGCTTATTCGACACTTGCATCTTTTATATTAAATAATGGTTTTGTTTTATTTAATATTGCTATGCCTCGAGATGATCTTGGTGCTATATTGCCATAGGACATTCAATAGCAATGTCTTTTTTTACTGCTTTGAAAATATCTTCAATGCGTCATTGTATATAGTGACTTCGCATTAGTGTAGTGACTTCGCATTAGGGTAGATTTGATTCATCAAAGTTGAATAACATACCTTTTTATCGCTTTTAAATCTTGCATCACGTTTACTGAACAATTTCATCATCGAAACCATTTGATATATTTTTGTTTTTAACTCTTTTTATGAAAAATTCGGATTTGGTTGTTTTACCAGGGCAGTTTTGAAAGACCTTTTTCAGAAAGCAGCCATGTGAATATAATCCATTAGATTTTCAAGCATCCGTGAAATACGAGACCAGCTCAAACAATAACATAGAAGAAAGTATTGACAAGTTAGTTTTGGATTTCGTTAACTGTATGCATAAAAATATCAGTCCACGTTTCGCATTGAACTTAAGCCTGTTATCTTTTCCTTTCAGACAGCTTCATCGATTATTGACACAAAATGGTACAACAGCAAATCACGATGCTATGAATGCAAACGAATTTGTTGATGGTTCACAAGAATCTCAACCATCAGCTGCAGTTGCAAGCAATAGCGTAACGGTACATGCATTGCAAAAAATACCATTGGTGGGTACGGATTGTGCTCAAATTTATCCTCTGAATGAATCTTCTTTTACAAATGATCCATTTGTGGTTGATTTGACAAATACAAAATGTTGGAATGACATTGATCAAGCTTCGTCTAGTACGACATCTTGGCAATGGTATCACGATGAGCTTCTGAAATTCGTCAATTTTTTTGAAATACCATCGTATCAGTCAGGTTCAACATATGATAAAAATACAAAAATCATTCCAAGCTGTAGTTTTCTAACCATGCTTATTGAGACTAATCTATATTTATACACTAATTTACCAATACGAATGGATGATATTGTGCCTCGGATGCTTTTGGCTTTGTATACTGGTCTGCTGGATGAAGGAAGCGGTGAGCCATATTTCTCACATTTTATATGGCCGTTAGAATTGGAACGAAATAGTTATGATTGGGATGGAGCAGTGGAGACAATCATTTCACGATATTCGTCATCTGTACCACAATCTGTTGATGGTATTATAAATACTATCATGGTGCTGTTGAACTTTGATGATAACCATGAAGATGTCCGAAGTTTGGTTGAGCAGCTTATTCAAAACGATTTGAAAGAATCTTTGCTGCTTAATTTGCGGTTACTCCTTTGCGGATTTCAGTTATTAACTCTGAAGACTTCTACTTTTTGCAGTAATTTAAATCAAATTTTGGAAGAATCATTGGATGGAATCATAAATCCATTTGTTAACTGGCAATCTGATCAGTTCCGATTGAGTTGCATACAAATGAATTTGCAACAGTTCAAAGCAACGATAGCTTTTACTACTTATCACTGTACTCATTTGGAAGGGCGCAGTAGTTCTGTTTTGCAGAAGTCATTTTTCCGCCATTTTATATTTCACAATATTTTGTGCTATCGATTGATTTATGACGCTCAAGAAATCAGTTCTACTCCAATGCATGAATTTTCACGGTTCTTCTTCACCGGTGTGATGAAAAAGCAACTTGAAATCTTGTATACAGCACTGAATCTATATCAGGACAATGGTTTCCGGATATCAGAAAGCCGCTTTCATGGATTTAGTTTTCCGGAAGATGCCACAGCGCTGTATTTTCCAATTTGCCAACTTCTTTCACCTCTATTCTGTCTCTGTTTGACTCCAAAAATGATACCCGAACTCTACGCAGTACTGTATGGCTATATCGATAAGACGGCAGTTGGTGAATATAAAATTGAGGGATTAATTGAATCAGAGCAACAACGATGGATAGAAGAAGGACGTGAAGTAAGCGTTGAATATATTTTGATATTAGAATTAAATTTCTATGTAGCTTTTAGCTTTTCTTAATTAAAATCTCTGATCTTTGTATCGATATCGACGAAACCTTTGTGTTGATTCATTCTTTTACTATGTTCAACCACGAACATTCGATTTGAAATTTATCTTTTTTTTTTTTTTTTTTTTCGCTTATTTACGGCTAAATTAGAAGATAAAAAGATTGTTATAGGAAATTTTTTTTTTTTTTCATATGGAAAAAATCCATAAATTTTTCAGAAACTTTTGTTAAACTCATCAGCAGCAGTAGTTATCTTAATTACCATTTAGTCACATTCATATGCTAGAAAAAATTACGTTTAACTATTTACTCCTAAAATGAAATCTTTCATTTTTATTTGCCTTCATCTAGTGACTATTCATTTTTGCTGTAGTTCATATCTTCTTATGATGTATTCCAATAAAATCAAGAAAGATTTGTTTAGTCTTGTTGGTTTGAAATTCAAAGTTATATAACATCCTAGGCTTTTGAGTCCTAGAATCTGCAAAGTTATAAGTCCTTAATTATTAAAAAATTTTTAAATCAATTTTCACAGTTGAGTTACCTTAGCTTACCTTCTGCTAATTTTACTTTTTTTATAATGATTTCCTATTGAATTGCATCGTTTTTTTTTTTAATTCCACTGTGAAGTGACATGACATTCTTGAGACAATATTGGTCGGCAGGATTAATTATCCTGGGAATGCATATATTTTGCTTCAGATGTGACTGAGTTGTGAAAATCGATGAATTTAATGAGGTGCTAAAGAGATAGAGGGATATTTTAATTACATATTAAATTAGAGAGCTGTTATATGCTGTTCATTATATAAACCTCTTTTCTAACTGAACATTTGAAAATAGTTAAATTGCTCTAATAATGAGAAATAAATTTGAAATTTCAATAATCTCTAATTGATTTCTTTTTCAGGTGCGGAAATTAGTTGAACATCGAAAAATAAATATTAACAATTAATTGATCCAGGACGAATAAGTTTCATTTCCTTCCCGAACATGTTTCAAGTGGTTCATCAGCTATTTAATTTTGATTCTTTCAGTTTGCAGTAGAATGATAAGCTTAATGTTTCGTTCAAAGTGATTTGTCATGTTGCTATTTTTCAACGTTTATTCATCATATTTATTTATTAGGACAATGCTTTTTAGTTATTGGAAAGATATTCGATCTAATCAATCTTTTACATCTCTCTGCTTTACATAATAATTCCCAGTCTGTGCGTATCTACTTTTATTGTGGTCCAATTTCTTTTTTTTTTTTTTTTAAATTGCTTCTAATTTTATTAAGTTCGCGAGTAGGCAAAAATACTTTCATTTTTTTTTTTTTTGCTTTCTGTTGAATTGTTAGGTTGATTTCGTCCTACGAAATAAATTCTTGATATATAATTTAAAAATAACGATAAAATTATGATAGTATAAACACTGACGAAATTAATAAATGGTAAGAAGTTAGCATATAATTTGTGGAATTAGCTACCTCATATCTGATTTTTAAAATTTCTCCATACAGTAAACAAGAATGATCAATTACTAATTTGAGCTTTTTTGATAGTTTTTAATTTGTCGTCACAAACTGATAGTGGTTGTATTATTTCTTAAATCATTGCAGTTATTTTGATCAGATTAATTTTTTAGTATATTGTATACTTACATATATTTTTGATTTTATATGTTTTGTATGTTTTTCATTCAAATAGGTTTTATCTAATTATTGCTGAATCTTTTCTAGCTTTTTTTTTTTTTATAGCTTTGAAAGAAATTGGGAAGTTAAATTTTTATTCTCACTTATCTATTTTATATTGCATTTATCAATATAATATTTTTTTCATATTTTTTTCTCTTCTTTTTTTTTTTTTTGTATGTATTTGGTGTATAAATTCTAACCATTCAAAATTCGCAGTGGGATTGTTATTGAGAAAAGTTTTTGATGACTATTCAACTAGCATATAATAACTAGTTGCAATCGTTTTTATTGCGTATCATTTATCATTTTTTATTTACATATAATTACTACAGCAGGAATCCTTCTTTATTCGTCGTTTGTGCTTTCGACATGAATTTTTGAACTATTTAGGGTTTGGTGTTTTTTTTTTTTTTTTTTATACATATATATTTAATGTATTCATGATCATATCTGATCTAAGAATATGAAGGGTTGGGTTGATCATTTTTGTGATTACAGGTTGTCATTGAAGTTTTTGCTTTATTTTCTTTATTTTTTTTTTTTTTTTTGCCAAGTTTAAATTGATTTTTTTCTTTGCTATTTTGAATTAACCAGTTTGATCATTTAGCTTTCGATTTCACTTTCTTCTCTTCAACGCCATGCTTTATTATTATTAATGCGGTATAAATGAACTCCATTGTGCTGCAATTTTTGACTTGCTTACTTTTACTTATCATATTTGTTGAAATATTGAAATTAGCAACAGTGATAAAGTACTGCTTGAAATTTTGAAAATGGCAAAATTTTTTTAAATATAAACAATTCATAATTAGCATATATAATTTTTGTGTGAATTTTGAATTTTAGAAATTAGTTTAAATCAGAAAATTAGCAATTTCTGATTTTTATCGCTGTTTTACATCATGTTTTTAGCTTAATTTTTCATTGTTTGCTTATTGTTTTGTTTTTCTTCTGAAAACGCTGTAATTTATTTCAAAAAAAAAAAAAAAAAAAAGAAAGAAAAAAGAATTGTGAATACCTTCATTGGTATTGTATAATGTTTGAAACGGATCAGTTTCTTTGTAAAAATAGATTGATGATAATGTTCCTGTGTTAATCATTGCCGAAGTATCATTCATTCTTGCTATACAGTACTCACTGTTTACATTCTATAAATTAATTAAGTATTAACTGTATGTAATTAATAAAATTTCAATGGCAACAATATAAATGAAATTATTTCAAACTAATTGAATTATCTTTTTAAAGAAATAATAATTTTTAGGTTAAAAATGTTTATATTAGAAGTGAATCTTCAATCATTGTTTACAGTTAATACAAAAATGATTTTTATTTTACTATTTTATGAAACAGTAATTAAAGAAGTTAAAGAAGAATGAGTAAAAGAAAAATTGTAGTTTTGAGAGGTCATTTTTCCTCGATATATGTTCACATTTCTATTAGAGCTTAAAATTTAAATATTCAGGCTTTTTTTTTTTTTTAAATTGAAATTGGTAATATAAGCTTGAAAAAGTTTTGTTTCTGATTTAGTATAATTGGAAATTTTAAATGCAAGAAAAAAAAAATTTGGAAAATTTTTCAAGATTTTCAAATTCATTACTGCCAATGAGTCTGATGATGATTCTGTAGCTTTCAATATACTTTTTACACTTCGAGTAGTACTTTCTAGCATAGCACCGTCATTTGTTTCTTTTCTAAAAAAAAAAAAAAGCAAATTTCACAAAATTATAAAATTAGATAGTATGAATAATATAAACCATTTTATCTGATAATGTATGAATCAATTCCATTACAGGTATTTCTTATTTTTCGTATTAAAAAGCTATCAGTAAGTGAAATTAAATTAAGTTAAATTAAAAGAAATTAAATTTGAAAATACGATTACTTCAAAATATATTCGAGCCAAAAATTGATGTATTTGTTCACTTACATATTAGATTCACTTAGAATGTTGTTTGTTTGTTCGCTTTTATTATTATTATTAGATTGTTGTGATGTTAATTGTTCCTAAAACATTGTAAATTAGTAATTTAACATTTAATACTAAATAATTTAGGCATTACCACTATAATTGTTAACATTTAAAAATAAATTTAACAATTTATAATCGATTTTTCTTTCTTTTTTTTTGTTTATTTCTTTTCCATGGAAACAAGCAAATTGCTGGACTACTTGCTCTATATATCGGTTAAAACACTATAATTAGTCACAGTTATATTAATTTTATGTTAAAATTCTGACAATAATTATGTTTGCATTATTTACATATTATTTATTAAATCAAAAACATGAATTAATAGTTGATTTCTATTAATTAATTTTAATTAAATAATTTAAATAATTTAAGAAAGTTCAAAGCAATAATGCAATAGTTCAATGTTTTTTCTCTTTCTCTTTCTCTCTCTCTCTCTCCCTCTTTTATGCTTAGAAAGAAGTGTTCAATTATTATTTCTTCAAAATTTACATCTAAAATTTGAGAATAATTAAATTCAGGATTAGTAATTTCTTCTGATAAAATAACACGAGCTGTATAACATGATTGCGACAGTTGTGACAGCTGCGACAATTGCGACAATTCATCATCAAATTCAGAACTTTTCAAATTATCCGATGTATTTTCCGATGATTGCGTTAAAGCAATCTTATAAATTGAACTGAAATGAAATGAAAAAAAAAAAAAAACGGACAATTCATTTTCAAATAATAATTAAGAAAAAAGAAGAACTTTAAAATACAATTGCTGTTGCTAGCATTATAATTATTTATACTTTTATTAATGAGGAAAATATCACAAAAGAATTCTAAAATTTACTAATTGTTAGCTTTAGATTATTGCAAATTTTTATCTTCAAATTAAATTACAAATGGAAATTTTATGACGTAATTTTAAAAAAAAAAAAAAAAAAAATTTACTTACTTTTTACTGCAATTATCGCCTGTTTGATTTTGAATTGATGATTTCAATTTAATTGAAGAATTTGAAAATGTTTTATTTGATTTAGCCAATGATTGATCATCATCATCAGTACTACTACTACTACTGCTACTATTGTTATTATGACAAGTTCGAAGTGCATACACTGATGAATCATCATCAATTGTATATGATTCATTCAATAATTTCAATTTTGTAAAATGTGTCATTTCATGATTAATCGTTTTATTATTACTATTACTACTACTTAATAAGTTAGACATTTTTGCTGCATCAAATAAGCGTACCGTTATGTACAGTTAAAATGATAGCAAAATAAAATTTTAAAAAAAGAAAATTAATTGATATTTAAATGAATTTTTATGTAAATTTTAAAATAAAAAATGCATTAAAATTTTCAAATGCATTATGATTTTTCAAACTGTAACTAAATTTTATTAGCACATTTTAATTAACACATAAATCTATGAGAATAACACATTAAACATATCAAATACACTGATGCTAAATTTTTATTTTAATTAAGTAAAAAAAAAATTCTAATTTTTGTTTTAATTAAGTAAAAAAAGATAGTAATTTTTATTTTAATTAAGTAAAAAACGATTCCAATTTTTATTTTGATTAAGTAAAAAAAGATTCTAATTTCTATTTTCATTAAGTGAAAAAAAAGGAAAATGATAAGATTTTTTTTTTTTTTTGACATAGATGTACATATGCAACTTTTATGATTTTTCAATAAATAGTTATAATTATAATCAGTTATTTAAAATTAATCAATTAGTTGTTTAAAAGTATAATCAGACTGATTATGAAAGAATTTTAAGAATTTGAGAATATATTTAAAGATTAGAAAAATTTTACATTTATATTAATATTAATCCTAAAAATGAATGGTATTTAAAGAGAATTAAAATGCTTCAATTTTATGCATTTATCCTCATACTTTCAGTGTAAATCTTTTGATTATTTAATTAATTTAAGTGAATTTGATAAGGAAATATTTCGTTCTACATTTTCGCTTATCATTTGCTTATCAAATATAATTCTTTCCTTTTTTTTTTTTTTGACTATCTCATAGGAAACTTTTAATATTTACTCTCTGATAATGATAAATTGATAATTATAGAATTATAATTTGTTATAAATTCCATCATAACAAATTTGTTTTTTTTATAAATTGTTCAAATTATCAATGTATTATTTTTTTTTTAAATAAAATTAAATTAAACATAAAATTTTTTATTGGAAAATTTTTGATAAGAATATTTGAACTATTTTTTTTTTTTTGCTAAAATTATTGAAATAATTTCAAATTAAAAAAAAAAATGTTGGAAAAAATTATTAAAAAGAAAAAAAGATAAAATTTAAAATTATTTTATGAAAAAGAATCACAGCGTTGTAGTGAATGTGGTACTGATGCAGCGGTGTCCGAGTGGTTAAGGAGTTTGATTAGAAATCAAATGGGCTCTGCCCGCGTAGGTTCGAATCCTGCCCGCTGCGCCCGGAACCTTTTAGATGCAAATATTGGAAATTTGCAACTTAAAACGATTAGTCATTTTCGTCTTTGTTATTCTCAAAATATTTATGTTTATCCTTTCTTTTTTTTTTTTATTGTAAATTTCAACAATTTACTTTATTAATATTAATGAACGAAAAATTTCAAATTTAAATAAAATTTCAAACAATTTTACTAAATATTTTTTGTTTAAAATGTTTTTTTTTTTTTTAATTTTTATGGTTTTCCAGATTATTTTATTAATGGAAAATTTTCATTTGAAAATTTTAATTAAATTCTTCCATCGAAAAATACCACTAATTTTTCAGTTAAAATTTCGTGGTTAGCGAGGCCGGGTGGTTGCAGCGGTGTCCGAGTGGTTAAAGAGTTTGACTCGAAATCAAAAGGTTCGGATCCTACCCGCTGCGTGGGTTATGACACTTCATGTTTGATATAGTATTTATTTACATTCTTAACTGTGTACAAAGAGCACTATCACCTCTGCGGGCATCCAGTGTCTTGGGCAAGGCGCTTGCTTACCTACCCGTATGAAGTTGAGGTGGTTGACACATTTGCTTGCAGCAGTGTTACCCAAGTCAATCAGGCTTCAACAGAAGGTTCAGACAAGGTGTATGCATGGGTAAGATGCCTAGAAGGGCAACTGTGTCTTTCAAGGTTGGGCAAATAAGTCTCACTTAGGTCTTGATAGCATCGTGAAGCTATATAACTTGGCCTAGGGATGAACTTTAGGTGTAAAAGATGACAGCAATTGCGTACATTTTCACTAGACTTTGTGACGAGATGCGCGAAGGAAACTGGAAATTATGGGCCCAACCCTACAGGTACATGTAGGTAGTTAATTCAAGAGTTTGATTGCTCGAGAGTGATCCCGGATATGATGGTAGTTATGCCTTCGTTACCCGTAGGGAAGCAAGTGTATCTTTTCAATACATTATTTCCTGTTCTGCTAAAGAAGCTTTTTAAGATTAATGATCAACTTAAAGAAGTCAAAAGTTTTGCATCCACCTGTTATTACAGGTAGATGATCGTTTTCACATTATCATTGATGAATTAAGGCTAAGATCAATTTAACTATCTAACAAATATCATTTCCTGAAAGTTTAATATTTAAATTAATGATTAGCAATGACCAATGATCATTCGAGAAATTTCAGCAAAAATATAGAATACAAAAATACCAGGAAAAAAGCATCAAAATCAATGTGTACATTCTTCTGTAGGGATCAGAATCACAGATTATCTATGGTTATCTTTTAACTGCTCAATGAAAGAGGTCAACAGTAAGGTCACGTCTTCAATACGGAAAATTATTACTTCCATTTAATTTCAAATCTTAACTCTATAATCATCTCATTCACTACTAGCAAAAAAGTACTACAAAAAAAACGTTTCTTTCGCTTAGAACACATCAATAATTCATTCTGATTTCAAAATAAAGCGACACGGTGACATGTCATCCATCTATGGCGGTAATCTTTGATCTGTGTGTCATAGAGAAAAGACAACATTAACCTTACGAATATTATCTAAATAATGTCTCTTTTATGATAAAATTTTGCATTATATCGTCGCATCGATTATTTCAGCTAACGATTTCACTACAAATTAGCAGTAAACATTACATTGGCAGACAAATTTTCATTTGTTATGCTAAATCATAGTATTAACATTTATTCCATTATTCTTTTATTTTAATTAATTTTAATATTTTTCGATAACTTTTTTTGTTTTTGTTTTTGTTTGTAAAATACAAATAACAGAAATTTCGATATATCAAAAATAATTTTATTCAATTTTAAAAAATGCCACTAATTTAAATCTAAATTTGAAAATGCTTCAACTCTATCAATCGAATTTGAGGCGATGATTCGTCGGTGCAGTGGTGTCCGAGTGGTTAAGGAGTTTGACTCGAAATCAAATGGGCTCTGCCCGCGTAGGTTCGAATCCTGCCCGCTGCGTAGCATCCCCTTTTGTTATCAAAATGTTACAAAAAAATTTTGATGATAGATTGAATCTCTTTTCTTTCCAATGTTTTTTTTTTGTATGAATTTATTTTAACTGATAATAATAACAATAAAATGCTATAATTATTACTCAAATTATTTGATAAAAAAAAAAAAAAAAAACAAAAATGATAAAAAATTTTTTCTAATTTAAAATTCAAATTGAAAAGAAAAAAAAAAATGAAATGTTAGTGTAAATATCAATTGCTTATCATTAAATATGAAAAAAGTTCTGAAATATTTTTCTTTTAAACTAACAACAAATATGATAATTAAATTAAAATTTATTGAGTTATAGTAGTAAATTAATTCAAACTATTTTATAAATAATTATATGCAATGATTACTTAATTTAACATTTCGAATATTTATCAAAATGTAATATTATTATTAGTTTGATGTTAAAATTCATCAAAATTTGTTATTAAATTTATTTCAAACAATAATATATGCTATTAATTCAACATTTCAATTTCATTTGTGACATTTGTCAAAAATGTGTCGTTATTAGTTAAAAATAAAATTTATCAAAATTTATTAATATTTATTGCAAACAATTATAATAGAATACTCTGTGACAGCTTAATTCAACATTTCATTCTTCGCATTTATCATTTCTATCAAAAATGTCACATTTATCAATCAGTTATGAAAAATTCTTAAAACTTGTCAAATTGATTCATTCATTTCGCTAACAAAAGCAAATATTTAAAATTTTTCTGAAGGAAATAAAAAAAAAAAAATTAATCATAATTAATTATAATTAATAGAAATACGTATTTCAAATTGAATTTATCAATTAAATTAGCATAATTAATTAACATTTTAAAAAAGAAAACCAGAAAAGAAAAAAGATGCAATGAATGAAACAATTTTTCTTTCCAAAAAATAAAATAAAAGAAAAAAAAAGTAAACAAACAATAAACAAATAAATAAAATAAACAATGATTATTTAGTAATTATTAAATGATATTAAAGAGTAGAAACTGAGATCAATTTTTCATTTCTTTTCTTGCAATTATAGTTTTTAAAAATTATCTTTCAATAATACAAAATGCAAATGAAACATTTCTTATTAAAAAAAAAAAAAAAAACAATATTTAATATTATTTAAAATGATAATATATTATTCTTTTTTCTTTGTTGATTAAAAAAAATTTGTAAATATAAACAAAAACAAAAAAAAAAAAAAGAAAATATTAACTTTATTTATGTAAACGTTTATCAAATCAAATTTTTTATCAGATTTCATTGTTATCCATTATCAGTGTACTTTTTAGTGATAATAATTTATTTCATAAAATTTTGAAAATAATTCAAATTTACTGTAGTAAATCTCGAAATATATATAATTAACACTTACAATTTGTTACCTATAATTATGAGTTAATTAGTAATTATTTAACAGAAATAATGAATAATCATTATTTCCTGAAATAATTAAGTATCGAAATTAACATTGCTAGGGAAATGATTTGATTATTTCAATATTTCTATTAAAATGAATTTTTTCGGTAATATAAAAAAAAAATAAAAAGTGAAAAAATTTGAAAATGACAAAAATGGGCAAAAAAAGAACTAATTTAATTTTTATTCCAAATAAATTGAAAAATTTTTGAAATTTAAAATTATATTTTGGATGGAATTAAATTTTGTCACAGTTAAATAAGTGTACAATAAGTAATAATTTACAATTAAATAACACACAAATTTTGATTTATTGTAATAATAGTAAATAAAAAAAAAAAAAAAAAAAAAAATGCTTTATTATACAATCAATGCAAAATTAAAATAAAATAAAAAACTTATTTCATCCATAATAAATGAAAACATTTGAATTAATCAATAATTAAAAATTATACAACAATGCAAAAAAAAAAAAAAAAGTAAAAATTAAAAAAAAAAAAAACTTTAAACATTTGGCAATAATATTTTTTTATTTATTAACAAACAATTTTTATTAAATTTATATTTAAAAAATCAATAATATTTGAAATTTTTATTTAAAAAAAAAACAAAATAAATTTATTAATATAAATTTCGATAATTTTAGAAGAAAATTTGTTCAATTTTTTCTTTTTTCTTTTTTTTTTATAACAATATTTACAATTTCTTTTATGTGATAATTTTTTATTACATTTTAACAAAAATATAAATTGAAAAAAAAAAGTTTGCTGAATTGTTAATTATCAAAAAATTACAAATTTTAATTGTTTAAAATTTCAATTCGAAACTTTAATGGTATGTTTTATGCTTTGAAGAATAAATGACAAAAAAAAAAAAAAAACAGACTAATTATTATATAATTTTTCCAATAATTTATTATAATTCCTCATAAAATTTCAAATTAATTTTATAGCAAAATATTAAAAAATTTCATTTTTTATTTTAAAAATTAAATTTTATTATTTTCAAATTTCCATCAAACTTTTTCAATTTCAATACCATCAACTCTTGCTTATTTTACAAACAAATTTAATACAAATTAATTTTACATTGTTTTGTTTCATTTCTTTTCTTGCATTTTACTTATTTTTATTTTTACGATCTCAAAAAAAAAAAGAAAAAAAAAATGAAAAAATAATAACCAAGTTTATTATCATACTAAAATTTAAAATTCATTAATTAAAATTGTTTTTATTTCTCTCCAAATTTACTCATTGTCTTCATTTCTTCTTCTCTTTTCTTTTCTTTTGTTTAATTAGAATACCATTTGTGATAAATTATTGTCACCTTAATAAGATTATCACAATGAAAATGTTAAAGAATACTGATTGCAATAAGTGATTAGTGATAACAGTTGCACCATTAGTGATAACACGTCGTCGTTTACTTATCATCCAACCATCATCCATCGAATCTGTTTCTGTCATTGTTTCATCACTATCAAAATTATCATTTTCATTTGTCCATGGTACTAATGCATCCTCATTAATCTTCATTCTCTTATCTTTATTTAAACGTGTTATCATTTGATCAGTTTTTTTCTTGTTTAAATAAATTCGTTGTGCATTTCCATGTTCTGTTATCATTTGATAATCATCTGATCCTTGTAACCATGCTGGCATTGATGATTCAGTTCTTGTCGATTCTTAAAAATAAGCAAAATAAATGAAGAAGCAAAATAAATCATACATTTTAAAAATTAATTAATATCATTTAATTAATTCAAATTCATATTCCAAAAAGTTTAAGTTTAAAAAAAAAAAAGTTTAAAAAAAGTTTAAAAAAAAAAAAAAAGTTTAAGTTTAAAAAAAAAAAAAAAAGGAAGGAAAAACGGAATAAATAAATACAATAAATCATAGTCTATTCTTGTTGTTCAAATTGCTTCCCTTTTTCTTTTAATTCATATATTTCACATTTTTAAACATTTTCAAAATTAAATAATATTATTTAATTAATTCAAATTCATATTCCAAAAAAAAAAAAAAAAACCTGAATGATCGGTAGCATGATCTTCATATAAATATTCATCATCTTCACCAGTTCTTGTATCCCAACCTTCCGTATAATCATTTTCTTCCAATTTTGTTTCCTCAGTTGATTCTTAAAAAATTTCAATAATTTATTATATTTCTTTAAAATTTAAAAAAAAAAAATTGCTATTAAAAAAAAGGAAAGAATAAGAAAAAAACATTATATTTTAATTTTCATTTAAAATATAATTGTCAATGGTTAGAGTCTTTTTTGTAAATAAGAGGAAAAAAAAAATTTTTTTCAAATTAAAAATTTTTATTTAATTTTGTAAATTATCATATTGATAATTTCAATTGTTGTATGATTTGATAATTTAAATATTGTGATGATAGTGATAATGATAATGATAACAATATTGCGTAAATTATTTTGTGCATGCTAATTATTAAATGAGAATTGTGTGAAATTATTCTGATTTGCATTAGTTAAAAGTGTAAATTATGCAAGTGATAATGATAACATCTTATCATATCATTTAAATGATAATTTTTTTAATCATATAATTAAAAAGGAAATAATATTTGATTCAATTCCATGCAATTTAAAAAAAAAAAATTATTTAAATAGAAATACAATAAATATTCTCTGTACTTTTTCGTTTTCGTTTTAAATTTTTTTTGATTTAATTTTTCAAATTTATTTTTAAATTTAAATTTATCTTTTTTTTTTACATTTTCATTTCTTACTCTTTCTAATCTCATTCTATTTCATAACTTTTATCTGTTGATTTTGATAGGTCAAAGGTTAATGTTAGCTAATTTTGAAAGTATTAAAGTGATAACGGAAGTAATTACTTAAAAAATTCACGCTAATACTTCATTAAATAAGATTTACACAGCTATAAAATCAATTAATTCATTGAAGAAGCAAACTAATTGAATTAATTTGTAAATTTTTACAAATTAAAATTTTAATAAGATCAAAGACTTTATAAATTGTCAGTGAGAATGATTGCATACATAGAAGCAAAGAGTTAATTAATACTTAAAAAAAAAAAAAATCATTTCGCATCATCTAATTATCTCTTTTCAAATAATTTAAAAGTAAATTACTAAAATTATGAATAATTATTTAATTAAAATTATGAATAAGTATTTAATTAAAATTATGAATAAGTATTCAATTAAAATTATAAATAAGTATTTGTTAAATTAAAATAAAAAATTTTTTGACAAATGAAAAAGTTGAATAAATGAAATTTTGTTAAATAATATAAAAATTAACTTACTTGATTGTTTAATTTGATATACTTTAGTGTGATCAAGTTGTGACATTTCATTATATTTGATTGTTTTATCATCAAAATTTTGTTCTGTTTTAATCGGTGATGATAATTCATACCGTTGTTGTTCAGTTCCTGATCGTTCACGTCCGGAATGATGTAAAAACGGACGTTCCGGAATAACAGACGTTGCTAACGTTGTCGTTTCAACAACTGTAAAAAAAAAAAAAATTTATTGAATTAATAAAAATGAAATTATACGTGAAAAAGCAAAATAAAAACAAATAAATAAAAATCAAAATGCAATATTCTGTTCCATAAATTAATTAATTATTTATTTATTAAATATTAGAATTTAAAAGTAAAAATTTTTTGAAATATAAAAAAAAAAATGTATAAAATGAAATTAATGCTTAAATAAAATTATAATAAATGTTTAAATCCAATAAATTGTATAAATATAAGTGAATAAAATGTTTGTTTACAAATATGTAACCAATTATTTATTAAATTAATTAATTACAAAATCAAATTTTATAAATTCAAATATATATTTTGCAAAATTTTATTAATATGTTTTTTTTTTTTTTTTTTTTTTTTTGTTTTGCTGTTCGATTTTAATTTTAATATTACAAAAATTAATAAATTATAATATATAATAAAAATAAAAAGAATTTTTCTAAATATTTTTTTTTTTTTTTGGAAAAAGAAAAAAAATTGTACTTTGCATTTTATTTATTTGCAAAAATAATTTTTTTTTTTTTTGTAAAAGACTAAATATTCAATTTTTCATTTCATTTCTTTTCTTTTCTTTCTTTCTTTTTTTTTAAAAACTCTTTTTGAATAAATTTTATTATTTATGCTAAGACAACAACTGTTCAAATAATCAATTTATTTCATTTTTATTTCCATTACACAACCAAGCAATCATTTCAATTTCAATTCTCTTTTTTTTCCCTCTCTTTCTCTCTCTCTCTTCCTCTTTAGTAGACGAAAGTAATATTAAAAAAATAATTCAAATTTTTTTTTTTAAACAATTTTCTTTGTTCTTTTTCAGTCATCTATGAAAAAGTTGAAGAAAATAATTAATAAAATAAATAAATATTTTAAAAAAAAGATGGAAAGAAAAATTATCATATCTTTCTTTTTTCAATAAGTGAAAGTTAAACTTTTCACTTATTGATTTTTTAAAAAGTATTTTGTTTGCTTATTTAAAATTTTTAAACTAAAAAAAAAAAATTTGACATTTTTTTTTTTTTATTATTCGTTTCTTTTTTGATGATAATAAATTGCATTTGTTAGAGTAAATTAATGAAATTTGTCTGAAACATTTATTTAATCATTAATCACTTTTAAAAAACAAAGAAACTTACAACTTAGATTTGCACTTAACAGTTAAAATTTATTATTTTGATGATAAAAAATTATCTAATTAAGAAAGAAAAAAAAGACAAAAGACATAGACGTATGATTGTAATAAAAATTAATTATCATTTAAAGTAATTAACATAATGATTTATTATTTTTTTTTCTTTTACTTTACTAACTTATAGTTTTAATTATGTAAAATTGATAATTAAAATTTTTTACTTTGCTTAATTATAGTTTTAATAATATAAAATTAATAATAAAAATATTTAAACATTTTTCATATTTAAACATTTTGTTAAATAATTTATCTTTTTTTCTTTTTTTTTTTTTTAACTTTACTACTTATAGCTTTAATTATTTAAAAAAAAATAATAATATTTAAACATTTTATTAAATAACTTACTTTTTTGTACTTTATTGACTTACAGTGTTAATCAATTAAAATTGATAATAATAATAATATTTAAACATTTTGTTAAATGATTTAATCATTTTTCTTTTCCACTTTACTAACTTACAATTTCAATCAATTAAAATTAATAATAATAAAATTTAAACATTTTATTAAATGACTTACTTTTTTATACGTTAGTAATTTACAGTTATAATCATATAAAGTTGTTAAATAAGTACAATTGATAGTGATAAATTAATTAAGTTAAATAAATTTAATGATGAATTGACAAAAATATCGATGATAAAACATTAATGATAAATTAATTAAGTTAATTAAAATTAATGATAAAATATGATAAAATATCAATAGTAAATTAATTAAGTTTAAATAAAATCAATGATAAAATATGATAAAATATCAATGATAAATTAATTAAGTTAATTAAAATTAATGATAAATTGATAAAATATCAATAATAAAATATGATAAAATATCAATGATAAACTAATTAAGTTAATTAAAATTAATGATAAATTGATAAAATATCAATAATAAAATATGATAAAATATCAATAGTAAATTAATTAAGTTTAAATAAAATCAATGATAAAATATGATAAAATATCAATGATAAATTAATTAAGTTAATTAAAATTAATGATAAATTGATAAAATATCAATAATAAAATATGATAAAATATCATTGATAAATTAATTAAATTAATTAAAATTAATGATAAACTGATAAGATATCAATGATAAAATATGATAAAATATCAATGATAAATTAATTAAGTTAATTAAAATTAATGATAAAATATGATAAAATATCAATGATAAATTAATTAAATTAATTAAAATTAATGATAAACTGATAAGATACCAATGATAAAATATGATAAAATATCAATAGTAAAATAATTAAGTTAATTAAAATTTTACCAGCATACTGACATCGATCACCGTAATATACGTTAAGTAAGCAAAGACACGTATGTATCGATGGATCGTCAACTAAATATGCGCAAAAGCCACCGTTGAGACATTTGATGCGACACTCACTTTGCGGATTAACGAATGCTTTACGTGGCTGTGCTAATATACTCCAACGTGTACTGCTATTGTACATTAAAATATATAGTAAAATGGATAATATTTTCATCTGAAAAATTAAATTTAAATTTAAAAAAAAGTGGAATTTCAATTTAACATTTTCAAAATTTATCAAATAATTTAATTTTTAAAAAAATAAAAATTAAAATTCGCATTTTAAATATAAAACAATTAATAGTACATGCAAAGTTGAGTAAAGTATTCGTATTTGAATTGCAAACATAAATACAACGTACTTACCTACACTTACACGCACGTACACGTACGTACACGCATACATACGTTTTACATTTTGGACAAAAATTTAATACTTAATAAAATTAATTAAGCGAAATTCTCTTTTATTATTTTTATTCATTGCAAGAAGAAAAAATAAAAAACAAAATAAAAATTAATTAATTACTATTTTACTATTTAAACTATTTCAAAATTAATAAAATAAAATATAAATTTTAAAATAATGTTAATATATAAATGGAAATGCTAAGATTATCATATCTTTTTTGTTTTTAAAAATTATACTTAAAATTAAATTATAAATATTTTAATTATAAATTCTGTAAATTTAAAAAAATAGAAAAAGCTGTTGAAGGAAGAATTTTTAACGGAGCAAATCTTAATTAATTAAAATTGAACAGATTAACATATATTTTAAAAGAATTGAACCTATAAAAATAAAACTATAAATCTATTAAATTGTTAATAAATGAATTTTATTATAAAAAAAAAAAAAATGATTTTATTAATATTTTATTGATAGTAATAAAAATATTTACGATACCATAATTATTGCATTTCATTTTAAAAATTTCATAAATTCAAAAAAAAAAAAAAAAAGTTTTGACAGCAATTAAATAAAATTTAATTTAATCATTTTGCCATTTATCATTATTTAATTTTAGCAAAATTTTGTATATTTTAAAAAAAAAAAAATATTAATTAATAAAAAATAAGTATATATTTTATAATATAAAAATTGATGAAATTAATTTTTTATAAAATGAATTTTTTAAATAAAATTCAAATTTGTTAATGGTAAATTTAAAAAAAAAAAAAAAAAAGACGAATTTAATGAAAGAGAAAATAAAAATTTCAAAAAAAAAGTTTTTTTAACAAGCAAACTGCTAGTCTTTACAACAGGAAATGAAATATGAAATTACAACAAAATGCGAAAGTTTTCAAAAAAAGAAAAAAAAAATTTGTCACTTGACCTTTGAACCATAAAATTACATGTATAATTTAAAATTTAAAAAAAAAATTAAAAATTAATTGATTGATTAATTTATGCGTTAATATTTTTAAATATTATATAATCAGCTAAACATATTTTGAGGAAAAAATCGAATTAATTATTTTAAGATTTAATTTTTGAATGTTAAAAAAAAGAAAAAAATAAAAATTTTAGATTTGTTTAAACAAAAATAAATTCTTATATTATAATTAATTTTTGATAAAATTAAATGAATAATTAAAAGTAAAAATTTAATTTCGTTTCTTTTTTTTTCGAAAAAAAGAAAAAGTAATAAAAAAGATTTTAAAATTTTGCAAAATAATAATGCAAAATTTAAAAATGAAAAAACTTTTTGTTCGTCGTTTTTTTTATTAATTAAATTTTTTCTATTCATTGAATATTTCTAATTTTGTTTGCCAAATTACTTACTAATCAATTGAATATTCTATTATTAATGTAAAATTAAATTTTTAAAACTAAAAAATACAAAAAAAAAAAAAAAAAAAAATTATAAAAAGAAAAACAATTCTTCAATATTTCTTTTTTTATTAAAAAAATTTAAAATATATTTATTAATTAGTTAAAACAAAAATTAGAAAGAAAATTATTGAGTAACAATTTTAGTATCAAATTTTGACATTTAATATTATTTGTTAAAATTCTTTTTTGCAAATTTTTTTTTTTAAATAAAAAAATTTTTGAAATGAAATGAAAAGTAATAGTATTGAAGGGAAATGTTGGAAAAATTCTTGCTAACATAACTTTTCTCATTTATATTATTTAAAAAATTTTTTTCTTTTTAACTTCAAAAAAAAAAAAAAATTTTCTTCGAACTAATTTTTGAGGATATATAAAAAAAAAAACTAAAAGTATATTGTAGTGAATTTTTTTTAAAGTGTATTTTAATAATTTTCCTATTATTAATTAGTAATAATAAAAAAATTAAATTAACATAAAAAATTGTAATATAAATTTTTTTTTTCAAAAAAAAAAAATAAAATAATTTTAAAATACTTTTTGAAAATTTCAATTTTAAAATTTTTTGATTGCATTTAGTAAATTATACGTAATAAATTCTTTTTATCATATTTTACTTAACTATTCTTTCTATTTTTAATACTTAATTTTATCCTTTTTCTATCATTCGGAGAGAGAGAGAGAGGAAGAGAGAGGGACGGAGAGAGGGAGAGAAAGACATAAGAGAGAAGCAACAAAATAAGTACATAAGTTTAATTTTGAATTAATGTTTTTAAATTACTGCAATTTTCTTTTTAAACTTTAAATTACACTTATTGTGGTACAGAAGAAGTGAAAAGGAATAAATTTTATATGAGCAAAATAAATAGGAATGAAATTAAATATCAAATATAAAATTAATATGAAATTAAATCAGAAAGAATATCGTTTAAAAATAATGCCATAGAGGGAATTACTTCTTAATAATATTTGCTATTTATAATTAAATTTATTTATTTTTTTGTTTTTTTACATTTTAAATTTTAAATTTTCAAAAAGGAAACAAAATTGGCAAATAATAAATTAATATTTTTGTTTTGTTAATTAAATTATAAAAATATTTGGAAAACAAGAAAATTTCATTGAAAAAAAAAAAAAAAAAAAAAAAAGAAACAAAAAAAAAAAAAAAATAAAATTTTGATAATAATAAATTTATGATAATTGATAACAATTAGCAAATAATTTATCTAATTTCATAAATTTAAAATTATTTCTATCATAACAACAAAATCAAAATTTGTTATTCCTTAATTGATAACATTAATTTAAGTTAAACAACTTTTCACTGATAGAAATGGAAATGGTCAAATTGACCAATTAAAAAAAATTTTAATTTTAATCAAAATATTTTCATCCAATCATTTATTTACTGTTTTTTTTTTTTTTTTTTTATTACACCTTGTAAATGATATTATACTATCTTAGATAAATTTTATAATATCTCGACAAATTTCGAAGAATAATTTGAAATAAAAAATTTTCTAATTTTTTAAAAATTAAAAAAATTGAAAGAATTATTTGAGTATAAATTATATGCAATTTATCATGGAAAAAATGACTTGTTTGATGAATTAATTGACATTCTACTATATTTATAATCTATTATTTATTATGATTATTGGTAGTGTTATTATTATTATTATTATGATCATTGGTTCTGTTATTATTATTATTGTTATTATTATTATGATCATTATTATTATTATGATCATTATTATTATGTTAATATTACTATTGTTATTATTATTATGATTACCGGCACTGTTATTGTTGTTATCATCATTTTTATTAATACTATTTTATATTATTAATATGATTATGATTATTGGCATCGCTATTGTTATTATAATCATTGTTATTAATACCATTTTATATTATTATTATGATTATGGTTATTAGCATTATTATTATTACTATTATGATTTGTTTAGGATTGCATTGCAATCATGATTATGTTTGATTATTACAGATATGGTTGAATTTATCAATGCATTACAATTATTATGGAAAAGAAAAGAAATTAAACTTTCAATTATATCAGAAAATGATAATTGACGTTTACAACAACAACAACAAATAATTGATAACAATAACAATAATAATAAATAAATAATAAAAGGACAATAGCCAGCACAATTGACAATGACTAGTACTGGTGACAACAATATCAAAACTAACCTCACAAATGACATTTACTATAAACAAATCAAACAATAGCATTACAAGAATATAAAAAGAAGTAGTAAGAATAAAAATTGTAATTAAATTAAAATTGTTGAAAATAATCGAAATGAATGATTAAATTTAAAATAACATTGGTAATTATAGTTTAGAATAATGAATTAATTGTATTAATAAATTGATCATTTTTTTTTTTCAACACTTTTTATCATCATTTCTTTTAATCTTTTAAAGTTTATAGATGAAATTTTTGGAAAAAAAAATTTCATTTTAATTCTTTTCAAATTAAAATTATTTTTCTTTTAAAAAAAAAAGAAAAGAATTTTGTTTGACTAATTAATTTATTGCAATTGTTAATTTGATGAAATTATTTTTGCAAAAACAAATTGATAGCTATATCAGAATATTTATGTTAAAATTTTAAAATCAATAAAATAGGAAATTGTAATATTAAATAGAAGAGTGAACGATAAATGGCGAAGAATGCAAGTAAGCAAAATGGATGATAATATTATTGTCGTTGTTGTCGTCGTTATTATTATTGTTGTTGTTGTTGTTGTTAGCCATTTGGTTAGCTGGACAGCTGTTTAGAAGATGATAAGATGCTAAGAGAGAGAGAGGGAGAGAGAGAGGGGGAGAGAGGGGGAAAGGTTGAAAGATGAACTTATCAAAGTTTTGCAATAATCATCCTGAAATTCTCTGCTTTCTGATAACTGATAATTATTGATTAATATATTGCAAATTTAATTTCATTTAATTTCATATGTATTTGTAATTTTTGCATATAATACTTAAATAATTAAAATAGCACTGGGTCAAAGGTCATAGAAGTAAGTATAAAAAGCTAAGGTAAATTACTAAGGTAAAATTGAAATGCTTGAATGATATATAATTAAGTGTATCACATATAATTTCTAAGTGAACATTTCAATTTTTTTCTTAGTACTAAATTTATTTTCATTTCTAATATATTCTAATTTCGACTACAATTTAAACTTATAAATTTCAGAAATGAAGAAAAGTGGAAAATAAATTTATGAGAAATTAGATGCATTTATATAATTAAAATTAAAATCGAAGAAGGAAAA